TTTTCATCGGCATAAAACTTTGTATTTTCTAACTTAGTAGATATAATAGCTTGATATGGAACAACTAGATCACCCATTTAGAATACATCATCTCCCTTAGATACTTCATTCTTACCATTTTTAATAACTTCAACGTTGACATGACTCCAAGGTTTGGTTTTCACAACAAAACCCAATCAATTTTATTACGATCCTTTTAAAATGAAAGAGTGTATGTATAATACACTTGTTGGCATTATTTGAAAAATACAAAAACATAATTGATGTTACGAATTCATCATCTTTTATTTACTTCGACCATACCATAATGATGATCTATTTTAATTTCTCTATTAATATCATACCAACAATAATAACCTCAAGTATCTTATTCTCAACTTCAAATTCATGGGCAGTTGAACCCATTACATGAACCCCACTCTTTTGTACGAAAGATATATCTATTGATAAAATACTTATTATAATACTCGACTTTTCTTTCAAGACCTAAAGATAGGAATATTAGTCTACCGGCATTGCCTCCTATGTTGAGAATCTAGTTAAAGTTAATTAACAACCATTATCGATTTGAGTCAAAAAAATAAGTAAATATTTTCTTAGGTTTTATAAATTATTAAATACTTATACATGTTTTAAATCATGTGATAAATTATTTTTCTTATAATTGAAAAAAATTCAGCTTCATTCGCATTTGGATTTTGGGATAACATTAATTGATGATGTTTCTTAAGAATGTTGATGAATTAAATCTATGTGAGAATATAAGCAAAAAGGGTTTAAAACTATATAATTCTCAACTTGACTTACTACGAAAAAGATCTCTAAAACAGTGACTAATCTCAATTAATGCATCTTATATCTTTTTTGAAAATAAATCCATGTAAGTAATTAGAATGAGTATTTGCATAAACACATGTCAATCATGACTCTTCATTATATGTAATCTACATTCCTCTAAATTCACTGATTTAACTATGTTTATCTATCAAGAAATCATGGACTTGTAAGTCATTCATAGATAAAAAGTTGTGAACCATTATCTAATGTAAATGTTCTTTTTAGCTTTGCGACATGTAACCTATCATTAAGCAACTTTATATCATGATGATCATAATACAAAGCCAAATCCATTCTAGCTTTCATATTGTCTTTAGTTTTCCCTTTAACATCTATAACAATGTTAAAAATATTATCAAACATGTTTTTCTTGATATATATGGCATCCAAATTATAACGGATGATATTAGTCTTCTAATAAAGAATATCCTAAAAAATACTATGCTTTACCTAATTATAAATCACACCAAAATCATGAAACTTTTGCTTATAAAAATGAGAACCAAATACAATGCCCTCATACTATAAAACTACGTCACGCAATTCTTCACTCAACAATATTAGTGGTACAACATCCATTTTATACTTACCTTTTAAGAAGGTTTTTTTTTTTGTATTAATGATGACTTGGCAAAAACTTTCAAAGGTAATTGAAAATAAAAGCTTTATCACAGTACAATATGGTAAAAGCCTTATTATTTTCCATACAATATGGACAAGATAATTTTTCATATGTGTTCCAACCCTAAACATCTCATATGCAGGAAAATCATTTTTAATCCACATCAATACTACATTCATTTAAAAATTTTATTTTCTTAAGATATCATATATCACAGCCCTAACTAATCATAATTAATTCTACTTATCAATCAACGGTTCAAGAAAAACATACATATCCCTGCTTAAACTATAAGAATCAGGTATGACCATAAATAAAAACATAAGTTTTATCTTTATACATATTCTTGAAAGCAAGTTATAAACTATTAGTATGGCTAGCCAACAAGAATGGATTGCAATAAAGGATCCAAATAGATTAAATTTATTTGTACGCGGGCCAAGATACATGTTCCTTTGTTCAATTAAAAACCGAGTATGTATTTTATTAAATTGCTTCTAAGCTTCATCATTAGAAAAGTATACTATGATTTCATCCACTGCATCATATGAATGATGTCATATCATATCCACAACAATCTTTAAAGATGTAATTACCTTTACAGTCCAAGAGTGATTAAAAAATATCTTACTTTTTTCTATATGACAAACACCCTTCCTCTACTACTATTAGGTTTATACTAAGCATATTGATAGGTTTTTTACTCAATAAAATTTACATATTCACTATAGTACAACATGCAAAAATTTAGACACATATCAATTTTTTGAAATCTTAAGTCAAGAAGTTTCATCATGGATTTTGCAGAATAGAAGTTCTATTCCAACCTATTTCCTTCAGGTAACATGCTTTTAGCACATTCAATGAAGTTATTATAACCAACATCACTCGAATCATAATTTGAATTAATGATAAATACTTATACAATGATTGATAATTTATTATGAGTTATGCACTCATTTCATAATGATTAATCAAAATAGGGGGAAAAAATTTTCTTTTTTGTTTATTATTATTTTGTAATTTGTAATGTTATTGTAATTTGCAATTTATAATGTAATTGTAATTTAATATGATGAAATCTCCTAAAAACAATGAACATATTCAAAATATATTAACAATTAACAAAAAAAAAGCATCTTGCCTACCATTTTTATCAAGGTAATTAAGTTGAGATCCGAATGATGTGAGCAGATGCAAACTCTTTTTGTTCCTGTTATTGTTGCTTCTTAGTTTTCCACTCCTAATAGCATACTTCTCAGTTTCCCAAGTAACAATTATCCTCCTCCTCCCCCAATTACAACCAAATTAGTATAGACTCGATCTTTTTTTTCTTCTCATAAAAATCAAACACAATAGTGGGGTTTTTGGTGTGAATAGATGTAATAGATCAATGAAGGAGAAGAAAAGGAGACCATTATTTGTTAGACTACAAAAGCTATACATTTAATCTCTATTTCTTTAAAATTCATTACTGTTACGACCCGATTCCCAGATCAATGATTGGCATACAAACAAGGTTCCTCTCTAAAGGTTTTATATCTATGAAACCCAAACTTACATACAATCTTATCTTTTAAACAACTCAATCAGTGTTCAACGCATCATTAATAACAAACTAACTTATAATATAATTTGATTGTCTTAATACAAGAGTTAATATAATTTCATAGTTTTGGAGCACTAACTAGACATAAAGAAAAAACTACAAATCACAACCAAAAGAGTAGGTTCTGAAGGTCCAATAAAAGTGACCTACTATCAAGCTATAAGCCTAAAAATGATAAATAATGAGAGGGTGAGTTCAACAACTCAATGAGTAGATAACGTTTAAAATACACACACGAGATAATATATAACACTACCCTATTAGCATGGGTATTCTAGTTGGCAAACCATAGATTTATAATTATACTCAAACAGACATATTAATATCTCAAAACTCAACTCATGACATCAATCAAATGAGGAGCTATCAATTCAGAAGTAATTCAAAATATATATTGGTTCATATCAAGAATTCAGATTCAACAATTAATCATGTTTTATTATAATAAAGATAATAATCAGCATATATATTATTAAAAAGCATGATCTAATTCATATTAACAAATCAAATATTTATAATATTTCTCATGCATATAAAAAATGATTCACTCATCTAACTTGAAAGCAAACAAAAGTCAAAAGTAAACACCGAAGAAAATCCTACGAACGTCCCGTCGGTAGAATATCAGGATTATTTGAATACAAAGAAGACATATTCAAAAACGACTTGAAAGAACATTTAACCTATTTAGTACACTTAACTAAAAGTGTATTTCATAACCCTATATATATTTAGACCAAACTAGTTATTTTTTCAAAAACCTAAAATTAAATGGTTTTTCCGAAACCTAATCAATAATAAAATAAATAATAAAATTAGTAATAATTCACTAAATAACCCTCATTTATTCATCAAACCAATCTAAAAAAGCAAATATTATAGCTAGGGATTAATCTGAAATTTATCATATTTTTAAGGGTCAAATTATAACTTTTATTAAATTAAAGGACCAAACTAAAAATATCATAAATCCATGGCTATACTAAAATTCTGATCATATTTAATCCTTAATTCTGTCCAAAATATCTCATTATACTCTAGGGACCATTCTCAAATTTTCTCCAAATTTGTAGGGTCAAATAATAATTTTTTTCAAATTGAAGGATCAAATTAAAAATATTATAAATCCATGACTATACTGAAATTCTGACCATATTTAATCATTAATTATGTCCAGAATATCTCATTATATTTTAGGGACCATTCTGGAATTTTTCCAAATTTTTATGGTCAAATTGAAGGACCAAATTGAAAGTGTTAAAATTTCATAACTATACAGGAATTCTGTCCTGTTCAGAATCTCGGAATATGTTTCAGGGACTATTCTGAATTTTTTAAAAAATTTAGGGACTAAAGTATAATTATCACAAATTAAGGGATCAAACCAAAAAAATTTCATCTTCAACCTCAAACCTAGAATTTCAACAAAAAAACCTACTATTCTTTTCAAGATTTCTAACTCAAAATTTACTATTTACACAAATCATAACTTAATATTTATCTTTACGAACAATTTTTTAAAATCAACTAAACAATTTATTATCTACAACAATAAACCATGTAACATTCAAATTAATTTATCAGTCAAATTTAAAATAAAATTTTTAAAACCCTAACATTCATCAAAATCAAAATTTAAAGTTCAACGAATACATTTATATATTTATAATTCTAAATCCTACCTTTAAACTTTTTTTTTTTTCAATCTCTTTCTTTTTTTTATTTTCTTTTTTCTTATTTTCTTTTTTCTTTTCCACCCTTTTCTCTCACGATTCGCTTGTTCAATTTTCAGATCCTTCTATACATATATATATATATATATATATATATATATCAATTATTATTTAATTACCACAATACCCTTCATTTAATTACAACCCAGTCCTTGCATCAATTTCTTGCTGTTTTTCAATTTGTTTTGTTTTTCTTTTCAAGAAATAGATAAACAGAGAAGATTGGAAAGCAAGATGGAAATGTCATTATTAAGAAATAAACTATTCTTGAGAAACGTATACTGTTGAGGATTATCAACCTCAACACAGATCAACCCTCTCATCTACAAATTCCATTAACTAAACCTGGGCTAGTTGGTCGAGGAAAGGAAGAAGAGGTTACAGACATGATTTCACGTCCGTTTCCTGCTCAAAAATCAGTTTTTAACTATGTTCTAGCTCATTCAAGAACCACTATTCCAAACCCAATTCCTAAAATCCTTCCTTGTTCACTCTCTACAGCATTTCCTTCTTCTTCAATATCATCACAAAATTCTGATTCCACGTACAAATTGACCCACAAAGACTGGTTATCTCCAAATGAAGTCATAAAGATCTTTGAAAATCTGAAAGATCCAAATTCAATAATCTCAGTATGGAACCAATACTCAAAGAGGAAAGACTATAAACCCAATGAAGCCCTTTACACTCAGGTCATAAACAAGCTTGCACAAGCCAAAAACTTTGATGCTATTGAAGACATAATGCAAAAAATCAAACTTGACAAGTCATGTCGTTTATCAAACGATTTCTTTCACAATGTGATCAAGATTTATGGCCAATTAGCGGGTCGAATCAAGAAAGCAATGGAGACCCTTCTTGATATGCCAAAAGGGTACAATCGTTGGCCTAATGTGAAAAGTTTCAATCTTGTATTGAACTTGCTTGTGTCTGCAAAAGTTTTTGATGTAGTTCATGAGGTGTATTTGCAAGCTCCTATGTTGGGTATAGAGATTGATGTTTGTTCTCTTAATATTCTCATTAAGGGGTTATGTGAGAATGGGGATTTGGAGGCTGCATTCAAGGTGCTTGATGAATTTCCTGAACAAAGGTGTGAGCCCAATGTGAGAACGTTTTCGACTCTAATGCATGGGTTATGCAAGAAAGGGAAGGTGGAGGAGGCATTTGGTTTGCTGGAGAGGATGGAAAAGGAGGGTATTGAAGCGGATACGATCACTTTCAATATCTTGATTTCTGGGCTAAGAAAGCAGGGCAAAGTTGTGGAGGGGCTGGAGTTGTTGGAGAGAATGAATATTAAAGGGTGTGAACCAAATGCAGGGTCTTATCAAGAGATATTGTATGGTTTGCTTGATGCAGAGAAGTACGTTGAGGGAAAAGAATTTATGGTTAGGATGATTGGGCAGGGAGTTGATCCTAGTTTTGTTTCCTACAAGAAGTTGATTCATGGACTTTGCAAGGAAAGGTTGCTAAGGGATTTGGATTGGGTTTTGAAGCAAATGGCAAGGCAAGGTTTTGTTCCCAAGATGGGAATGTGGGTGCAGATGGTTCAAAGTGTGGTTTCCGTCAGTTGGAGTTTCAACCATGTTTCTCTGAGCGAAATTGTTAATTGCGAGAATATTTGATTCTCACATTGGTTGTTACGGGAGGGGCAGTGACTTTGACGGCAAGCGTTGCACATTTAATCTCAACTATAAGATGGAAGAATATGAGCCATGCTCTGTCTGATTGTCTATTAACTGGCAATGGAAGTGGAGCGGAGTTGGCTGTGAGGACAAGCTTTGTACATCTTGTGGTGACCATTATGGAAGCAGCAAGTGCGAGTTTTGGTTGATGGCCTTCGATCAGAAACTCTTCTAACAAAAACATGAATGCGGATCAAAGGATTTACTTTCTGTAGAATCCCTGCGCCTGATCAGCTACATGGGGGCATCAATTAACAGAATTTCCTGCAATCAACGAGTTTGCAACGCTTGAATGTGGTACATGATATTGGGATATTGCTTCATTCTCCTGTTGATTTAACTTGCAGATAGAAGCTGAAAATTTGAGTTTCCTCATTATTTTACGGGGCCTTATGTAGACATTGTAGCTCTTTTTGTCTGCTTAAATTTGCTAATGGATTGAAATATTAGATATAGGAGTCTGATGTCTAATTTAGTTGTTTGGTCTCTTACTTTGATCTGTACACTTACAAGAAAGAAGTCAAGCAAATGAGAGTTTATTTATATACCCGTATTTTAGTGTTTAGCAAATGCGATGATGATATTTGAGGGTTATGCAGCACGATTTCTTGTTATGGAGTTGCCTCCAGCAAATACAGACCTTACACAGCTCAGGAATTGTCACTAAAGATTTTATGTTGATGCTGGAGAATAACAGATATAAACAACAGGGAAACAAGCGGATGAACAAAATCACCTACTGCACTCAATCTTTCGGTTGGAGGAAAACTAGATGAAAATGAGGAAACAAGTCATCTATTACCACGGAAAGATCGGATGATGAATACACCTTAGATGTGTTGAAGGCAATGGCTCTGTTTGGTTGACTGCAGGATTTTATGAACTGAAGTGAACTGGGAATGAATGCTTAAGGATGCCAAAGAGAAATAGATCACTCTTTGAATCCAAACACAAGGAGTTAAATTCGATGATAATATTCCTGTTCAAGGTGAAACTTTCATCAACCATCTAAAAGCCGAAAGCTTCAGATTCACAAGCACAATTCAAATCCCAAAATGGTTTTGGTCTCCATGACCAAATCCGAGTCCCGCCATCTTTTACCGCAAAACATCAAACGGCAATTTTTAAATTCAGGGGTGTTGGCGAGGTGGGTCTATAATGCAATCGCCAGCAGAAGTGCATCAAATATAAATGCAGATAACATTGCTGGAATCTCAGGATCAAACAAAGAGAACCCAGTATGCAAAAAGCAAGCCAAGTTGAAATGCAAATCTGGAAATAACAGCCCATGAATAAATACATGATGAGGTAGAGGAAAAAACTGGAAATACCCATTCCTTGAACATAACCCAGGTACAGAAGTTACTGGATAGAACTGAAGCACATACTTCCAATGTACGAGGCATAAAGACAAATAAACAGCCCAAACTCATTCAACCGATGATACTGATGATGCCCGTCTTCCATAATTCAACAAAATGGACAGGAACGTTTGCAAATCTCACACCACTATAATAATGGAGTACCATGTGCTACAAGCTCCAATGTCTTTGTGATTATTTTCTTGCAGCCTACAAAAAGAAGATTGAGTATGTCACTGATCAAATTGAAATTGTTAAAGAGGTTCCATGAGGGTAACATGCTTGGATCAAATTGAAATTGCTCCCTCTTGGAACAGTTAAACTCTTCTGCATATAGAATTGGTGCAGGAGGGACAACATATAAGAACTAGCTACCACAGAAAAAGGCATAGTCCCCTGTTGGGACCTTGACAATTTAAGGTAAACTCAAATGTTCCTACTGCTTCAAACTTTCAAAAACGAATAACAACAATGTCCTAGCACTATGCGGTACTCATATTGGAGTCAATTGAGAAGGAAATTCCATCCACAAGAACATCAAGGGAAAAAAAAATTCTGTTTATGTAGGTCAGGAGACTGATATGGTCATGTGGAATAAGGAAACTGGGAAATGGCTGGTATCACTCGGTGCATCAGTTTTCACCACAAACAACTAGTCCACTCCGGAAGTTGATCAAACTAGTAGTCAGGAATGATTACTCAAAAGAAACAAGAATTACTGATTATTAGTACCTCTTCAGCAATCCCAGTTGATATCTATGTCTGGGATGTGAGAAATCTTGGGCCAATCTTCTCCTTGGTTACGCAGACACCTTTGTTCCAGTAAAGGGCATTGAGAGATTATTAAAGAAGAAAGAGAAGATGGCAGCCCCTCTTCTGGCATGGATTGGAGATTGGGACAGTGGGAGATTCTCATTTGTGTAAGAGAGGTGAGGTGTTGAAGGCCTTCATAGTCTAGAGATTTCAGATTCTGAAGATCCCAAATACCAAGAGTGATAAGAGTGGTGGGCAGCAGTGTCTTCTCAGGAAAGGATTCTATATCTTCATACTCACCAAAACTGAAATGTGAAAGACATTGGAGAGCTTGCAAATTCCATTCCATACGGCCAGCAATGAGCTTTCTGCAATTCCTGATCTGAAGAGACTGTAGTTTGGCAGGTAAGCCCTCTTCTGGGAATGACTCAAGTTCTGGACAGTTAACAAGTTGCAAGATCTCAAGCGAAGGGAGGAGGGAGTGCATACATTTGGGCAGAGACTTCACATTTGAGCAATTCCATAAACGAAGCAGTGTCAAATCAGGACAAACAGAATTCAAACAACTGCGAGTGAAATTCCCGTGACTTCTCTCACATGCAACAAGTAATTCAAGATCCGGACATTCACTTATTTGAAAACTCTTCAACCTGGAGAACATTTGTAATGGGAAAGACATAAGTGAGCCACAGTTTCTGATTTCAATTTCTTCTAAATTTGTGGAAGGTACACCCATTCGCGCTATTCCCTCAAGTAGGGAGCTTATGGAGTTGAATCCATCAACTCTGAGTCCATGCAGTCCAGAAGGCAATTTAGTTACTAGCACATCACGAGATATGTCATCCAACTTCAACCTGCAGATAGGCGGTGTCATTGGAAGTGCAGCTGCGAGCAGTTGACATCTCTCAATCTCGAGGGTTGTTAAAGAAGGAAGATGACTAGGCAAGGCCTTTGATAGGTTAGGACATTCTTTTATGTAAAGCTCTCGGAGAACAGGGAAAGCTCCACCTTCACTAGAAATCCATTCATGCAAATGAGGCATTCTTTCAAACCTTAACTCTTCCAGGTTTCCAAATGGTTTTATGCAACTTCCATAGAACTCAGTACCAATTACAACCACTCCATCGAAAGCTTGGACACTAAGGTATTTTAGAGAGGCTAACTGCCCAAGTGGTGGTAAGCTTGAGCAACGCTTGCATTCACTAAGTGTCAATGACAGGATATTAGAAAAAGAACTGTCCCCCACCCACTCTGGAAATGTTGGACCCCCATAACCAATAATGGAAATGCTTTCCACATTTGTATGGGGTTGTAATTGCTCAAGTACATATCTTTCATGAGCTGCATCATCCGTATCACCGTTCCATCTCAACTGCAAATGTTCAAGGTGCTTCTTACCCTTCAAATTGGCTGTTAAAGCATCTAAAGCATCAACAACATTTTGAAGATTCCAAATTTCTAGTGTTCCTCGAAGATGTTGAAGCTCACCCAACTCTTTAATCCTTGAGCCTGTGTTGATGAATCTAGTTAGAATTCGAAGATTTTGCAAGTTTCCCATATGTAATGGCATCTCCTGCAGATTTGTTTCTCTAATATCAAGGTGATGCAAGTTAATTAAGCTTCCCATGTTGGTTGGAAGCTCAGTGAGGTCTTTGCATTGACACAAGATTAAAGTTTCCAAATTGCACAAGCCAATCAAAAAATTAGGTAACTTTCTAATCGATGTGCCAAAAAGATCCAAGTACTGCAGGTGCTTCAAGTTGCGAATTGAATTTGGTAACTCGACAAAGTCTTTGCACTCCCGCAAGATTAAGGTTTGCACATTGTACAGAGCATGGATAATTCTAGGTAAATTTTTCAGTGATGCTTGGAATAAATTCAAATATCGCAAGTGTTTCAAGTTGCCAATTGAATCAGGTAACTCTTGTGCATAAGAATATTGAGATAGAGATAGTACTCGAAGACGCTTCAGTGTTGGCAGTAAATCATGCATTGCCTTGCTCTCGTTGTGATCAAGCTCCCACGATTGCTCCATGAGTAAGAAAGTGCGTAAAAATTGTGTTTCATAGGTCCCCTCAAATTTCTTAAGGTTTCCATGCTTTGCTCTAACATATGATAAATGGCGCGTCTTTTTAGCAAGCTTTAATTCATTGGCATCATCTAACGTATAGCAGAATTCTCGAGATACAAATTTAGCTAAACCATTCATGAGGTCATGCATCACGAAGCAAGATGGATGGCTGCTTGATTGTTGAAAAAACGACCTTGATACAAGATCATTAAAGTACTCATCACCTACTTCTTTCATTTTTTGACCGCCATTGGGTTGGATTAGAAAACCTTCTGCCATCCATAAACGCACCATCTCCTCCTTTCTAAATTCATAATCTTTAGGAAAAATTGAGCAATAAGAGAAGCAACGCTTTAGATGTGCAGGGAGATAATGATAACTCAATCTTAGAGCTGGAAGAACGTTGATATTTTGCAAATCCCACAAATTGCTTCTTAGTATCTTCTCCCACTCCTCCACATCTCTTTTAGACCTTAAGAGACCTGCAAGTGATTTTACAGCTAAAGGCAGGCCTTTGCACTTTCTTACAATTTCTCTGCCAATTCCCTCCAACCCTGGATATGCACTAGAATCTCCATCATCAAGTGCATGTTCTTCAAACAAACACCAGCAATCATCATCGGTTAATCCCTTCAGATGGTAAGGTGGAACCTTGGAGAGGACTGATGCTACCCTTTCATTCTGTGTTGTGACAATAATCCTACTTCCTTGTGCCCCAAATTTCAATGGCGTGAGTAAAATATCCCAATCGTCGTACTTTGCATTCCAGACATCATCTAAGACAAGCAAGAACTTTTTTCCCATCAATTTCTCCTTTAGCTCAAGGTGAAGTTGATTCTGAGTCTTGGTATCACAATTTTTTGACCCGAACTCCTTGAGGATATCTTTAGTTATCTTGTAAACACCAAATTCTTCCGAAACACAGACCCATGTTTTGAGATCAAACCACTCTTGAACTCTGCTATTATTGTAAACAAGCTGACTAAGGGTGGTTTTCCCGACTCCACACATACCTACAATAGGAATCACACCAAGGCTTCTGCCATATGCATCATCTGATAATAGCAACTTCACTATAGCTTTCTTATCATTGTTCCTACCGAAAACACCAGATTCATCAACCAAAGAAGTTGTTGGCGTTTTATGTAATGATGGTTTTTCTCCAATATTCTCACCTAAACCAAGGACATCCTTTTGTTCTACTAAATCTTTAAGTCTATCAAGGACCGTCTTCAAATTCACTTTCATCCTAACGATCCTGTTGTTGAATGGATTACAAGAAGGAAGAAAGTTTCGCAACATAACTATTTTGTTGGTTTGAGGACCAGCTTCTATCACCGATCGCAGACCTTCATAAGCAATTT